GGCAACGCTCACAAATGCCAGTTGGGACCTTTGGATCATTTAAGTCAATTGTCTACTTCAGAATTTGTTGCATTTTTTCTGTCATAAAGTTAAAAAGCTACTAACCTTACCAAGACACAATAAGCAAACAATTCTCTTGTTCTCCTTGTGATTATTTGCTTGATTTGGCTTCTTTTTTTTTTTTTTGTTAATTCTCAGATGCCAAATCTATGAAAAAAATGGATTGAACAATAAATGCTCAATCTTTTTCACAGAATTTTATTATAATCCTTTATAAAAAAGCAATTTCAATTTTTTTTTTTTAATGCGATTTTATGCAAATTTGAAAATAGATTTTCTTCCACAGATGGTGTAACCAGATTGAGAAAACTCAGTAAAAAACTCTATAAAAATCTATATTGCAAAAAACATTTATATTCTGTAATCTCTGATAACAAAAATATGAGCACATTTTTTTGAGATATTAAAAAAAATGTGCCAATATATGAACAATTTATTTTTATTGTCCTAAAAATTACTTCTTCATTAATTATTATTCTTTGCTTTTCTTATTAGTTCAAGGTATATATGGTTTTGTTGTTAGTTAAAGGTATATATGGATATCTTTAACTTTAAGATATACAGGAGAGGGGGGCCGGCACAGAAGAAAAAAAATTACCTGTTACTTGCAATTTTTGAATGAAGACAATTTGTTAAATTTCTTCTGCGTGTGATTCAATAAATTTATTTTTGTATAAATAAGTTATATAATAGAGTTAAAGAAATCACAAGTAGACTATAACATCCGCTGGTGACACTAATATTACGTTGAATATATTTATATAACAGAGGTTTCATTATGCAGGCGCACGTTACAGACTTTGTTAAATTAATACCAAGGCACATTATAGTTTAATGACAGTCTTTATTCTTTACTAATGACTATGTATTTTTCAATATAAAATAAGACAAACTATTATTTAAAAATCTAATATATTTATATTTTCTCCAAACTGTTTAAAGTTCAAAAATGGATTGTATTGTGAAGGGCAAAAGAGTTACTTTGAAAACTTTTAAATCCTGGGACTTTGCCGATGCTTTTTGAATTGAAACTATCACAGAAAAAGAGGCTCACGCTTGGCAGATAGAACTGGTCCAACTACGTTTACAATGTGCTTTCAGACTTTGTCTAAAAGAGAAAAAGCATCATTAGAAGAACTAGCCAAAATATGACAACAGTATTCCATACAGGGCAAATAAGAGATTTATAGAGGTAGAGAATGGAATCAAGAGAGAGAAAATGGCCTGCAACCTTAGCAGGTGCTAATTCAGCAATCATTTGTATATATAGTTCCCATGAAAGGTCACTAGTAAATGATAATCAAAGAAGACATAAAGAAGAGGACTCAATGAGAGGGTTGCCATTCATTAGTATAGGAATTTCGATAGTACTGCGATAGTTGTTTGCAGTAAATAATTGAGTTTTGTTGGAGTTAAAATTTACTAGCCACTGTGAGCACCAATCTGTTACAGAAGTAAAATCAGGTTCAAGATCAGCTGCCTGTTCTAAGCGATGGAAAATAGAAGACTTTTTGTCAAGACAGGAATATAAAGTTGAGTCAGCAAAAAGAGCTACTTTAGATGTAAGGTTGTCGGAAGATCATTAATCTAGATAAGAAACAAAATAGGACCAAGGATAGAACTCTGAGGTACCCCAGAAGTTACTGGAAATAAAGAAGAGTGTTGGCCTTCGAGGATGACTTTAATAAAGCGGTTAGGAAGAAATGATTTAATAATCTCAAAAACTTTCCTAGATACACCATATGAAAGTATATGGAGAAGACCAGCATGCCAATTTTTGTCAAAACCCTTAGATATGTCAAAAGCAATAGTCTATATAATAGAGCAATAGTCAAGAGCAATAAATCTACTGGAGAAGATAAAATAAGCCTATACTTTCTTAAAGCATGCGCCAGCACAAATCGCAACTTCGCTTGCCACGATTTTCCAAAATGTCAATGAATACATTAACAGTAAAAATAATTGAAAAATATATGCAGATGACACAATGGTCCTTAGTGTAGTAAACACTTTAGAAAGCAAACTTTGTCTGCAAGCTGATATTGATAACATTTTTTTTTAAATTTTAATTCACCTCCTCAAGCCTGAGAAGGCCACTACAGACGAGGAGGCTACTTATTTTGTGGCTATAACTCTCTCTCAACTCTATAACTCCAAAACATGAACCTTGACGAACAAGGCCACTGCGCGGAGAAACGAGTTGAGCGCGGTACTACCAGGGACGTGGTGGAGATCAAACTCGGAACCACTCGTTTATGAAGCTAGCGCTCTACCACTACACTACTACCGCATTACAAATATGGCTCACGCAACTTAACATCAAAAAATGTAAAGTTATGCATCAATCAATCATTCCATATCTTTCTCTTACATTTATTTCATCAACTTCAATAGTTGAGTCAAAAGAATCTGGCAACCACATTGGGAAGAGACCTTCGTGTAATAAGGCTAATAAAATCTTAGGTATGTCAAAGTACACCTTCGTTAGCAAAGATGTAATAGTCTGGAAAAAAACTCTATACAACTTATGTATGCCCACATCCAGAATATCCTGTGACAGCCTGGTGCCCTTATTTAAAGAAATTACTGAAATTGAAAGAATACAATGTTGTGCCACAAAAATACCTCATGAATTAAAGCACCTTGATTACAAGATAAGATGTGCTAAACTTGGACTAACTTCACTAAGTGATAGAAGAAAATGTGGTGTATATATATCTCTTTTGGTTCAAACATTTTTTCTGCCATAGCATTAAAGATCAACTGTTAAAAAATATTTAAAATTTTTCTACGTAAGTATTATTAAATTGATTGAAATTGTATACAAGTAAACATTATATACAACTTATATATAAGTATCTATCTAGACTTTAATATATGAACTTATATACAACTATCTATCTAGACTTTAAATCTATAATCTAAATAGTTATGTATTGTAAAAATGCAACATTTGAATAAACTTTGCCATCTTTGATGATAGTGTTATTATTTTTTAACTGAGAGGTTACAAAATAACCTGTTTAACAATTATAGGATAAATCAACCTGTGTTTAAGAGTTATAGGATTGAAGGAGAGATATAGCAACAATTGAGACAAAAAAAAAAGAAGCAAATCTTTTATTTTTGATTTAATATTTCAAACTTGAGGTTAAGAAATATATATAAAATACTTGAAATATAAAAACTGAAAACATGGATGAAAATTTCTTTTGGTATTAAGATAGACGAGGTGCCAAATTTCAATGCTCAAAAGTAATGAAAAAAGAAAAATTGAGGAGAAGGAAACTAAAACCAAGGTTGCAGCCAAAGGTAAAGCCATTGCAATTGAACAATCGAAAAGCTCTTCAAAAGCGCTTTTCCAGTTGAAAAAATTCCATTTTGGAAATAAACAAATTTAAAAACACTTGTGGACTTGGTAATATACAGGGAGCCAAAGTTCATTGCATATTTAGAAGCTGGAAGGGAAAAAACTTATTTGAAAGTAATGTAAGAGAGAAATTAAGTGAAGAAGATAGGTTTTTTAATGATGATTAACAGAGTAAGATAAGTAACAGAGTGTAATGTCAAAAAGAAGTATAGGTAATGAAAAATAAAAAGATGGTGGCGTAAACAAATTGTTTATTATTGGCTTAACAGAAAACAGAATTTATGATAATCTTTGAAAATATTTGCAATTTATGGATGCCAATTTTTCGGCCAGTGAAACCAAATTTTAGATTTTCAAAGGCCTATTACCGAAAGTGCATGCACTTATCAAGCACACATGTGAATTTCTTTTACATATATCAAATTCCAATCCAAATAAAGCATTGGGTTTTTGGTCTGAACAGACCTCTGAATCTGTTCATTATAATATTAAACAGTTTGGCAAAGTGGGTACAAAGTTTCTAGTAGCTTTAAAGACTATCATAGCCTGCTTAAAGCATAGCATAGCCTGCCTAAAGCCACTGTTATATACAACTCCCGACATACCTTCTTTAAATCAGTTTTACTTTAAAGTTAAATGTGTTATAATATCTTTTAGAAACTATTATTGATTTTAAATGGAAATATATATAAATTTAAACACTAATTTGTGTCCTTTAAATCATTCTTTATTTTGAAAAACAATTGAATATATAAAAAAGATCAAGATTTTTTTATTATTCAAGATAAGTAACCTCCAGATATTTTCATACTTATACAAATGTTTTTTTATTATTCAAGATAAGTAACCTCCAGGTATTTTCATACTTACACAAATGTTTTTTTATTATTCAAGATAAGTAACCTCCAGGTATTTTCATACTTATACAAATGTTTTTTTATTATTCAAGATAAGTAACCTCCAGGTATTTTCATACTTATACAAATGTTTTAAAAAAACATGGTGATCAGAGTTTGGCAACAGTATTATCCTTAAATTAGGGCCTAATTTAAGGATAATAATGTTTTGAAAAATCAGGAACCTCAGTGGTTCCTGATTTTTCAGGTGTATATTTTTCACAGGCTCCTACCACTGCAATTTTTATAAAACATTTTTATTTGATACCAGTATCTAAATTACAAAATTTAAATTTTTTTTAACATTATGAAATTTATTTATCTTGAACACCAAAAATCTATGACCTGCCTGTTTAACCCTCTTTTTTTTGAAAGATGTAGACAAAACATTTAAAAGTTCTTCAAAGTATTGTGGTTTCAAAAATGCAAACTATTTCTGGTGGACATTTTTTTTAAAATAAATTGTTTTGGCTTTGGAGTGGCTATTGAGGTGGTAAATGTATAATGAAAAAACAAATGTTCAAAACTCTTAACAAGTTTTTTTGAAAGTTATAAAAAACTCAAAACAGTTAACTTATTTTTTTTGAAATTTAAATTTTCAAAACAGTTCATATATTTTTAAAATAAAAGGTTGATCTTTTTATGACGATGATAACGATTTAATTTAACTTTAGATTCAATGTACAATACGCAAGAAAATAACAGATTTCTCAAACATTATCAAATCAATGAAAGTGCAGTTATTAAAATCTGCTGGTGGAAATGTTGTGTATCTTTCAAATTTTTAATAAATAAATTCTGTTTATTTTTTTATTAAATATATGTTTATTTAAATATTAAAAAAAAATTATTAGACAAGAAATTAATGTTGGTTGATATAATGTGTTTTTAAATTATAACTTTAGATTACAAGTTTTTTGTGCCTTTTCACTTTTTCATCTAATCACTTTCTTGTGTCTTCTTAATTTGGTCAAGTTTTTTAACTGATATTAGGATAGTTTACAAGCTTTTTTTTCCAGGAAGCTTAGTAATATTTAACTCTTCAAGCTTCATATATCAAATGTTTAGCTGTAAATATACCTTGTAATATTTAAGTTTTATTGCAGCTTAAACAGAAAGTTTCGCTTTATTTTAGTGAGTAAAATTTTTATATACAAGACTTTCACTCTCAATAGAGTTTCTCAAGTTTCCTCAACATGTAAGAATGACTAATTTGAAAAGACAATTTGATAAAATGGAGATGGCAGTTATTGTGAATTATTTTGTGTCAAACTCATTTTGTATTACGCTGAGTTTACAACTAAATATAAAACTGTTAAATTATTTTTATACATCATGTTTTAGTAGAATTAATCTTTTAATAAATAAAAGTATCTGACTGCTAATAAATTTTTTAATAAATAATGCATAGATTTAATATTGCTTATTATCAAAGATTAAGTTGTATATTGTTTGATAGGTGTTTTCTTTATTTTAGAATAATTGTTTTTTTTTGGACATGATTATTTTGCAATTATTATAACAGTTTTAATGTTTCCATGTTTGTCAAAGTTTGGTTTCTTGTAATGCATACTACATTGTGTTAGGTCTCGATTGAAAGTAAATTGTATTAGGTCTCAATCAAAAGTACATTGTGTTAAGTCTCAATCTAAGCAAAATTGTACAAAAATTTCAACAAATAAGCATTTGATTAAAAAACAAAAAGATATTTTATTTTTACAAATTTTTGTAAAAATCCTCTTTTTTCATTTTTTGTTGAAAATTGTAATTCAAAAAATAGTGCATTTTTCTATTAAAAATAGTGCATACTAATGTGTTTTTATATGTAACACCTTTTGATTCAGGTGTTGTGTTCTGTTTTCTTTAAATATTTATTATTGTTTTCTGTTAATTTTTTATATTTTATTATTGGAAATGATTTTTTTTTTTAATTACCTAGTATTAAAAAATTGTGATCTACAACTGAGAATTTTTCTATAAAATTTCTGTATTTTTTAAAAAACTAAAAACTATCAAAACCAAAAGCAAAATTACAAAAAAGTGTTGTTTTTTTTTCCCAAATTTCCTTTTTCCATTTTCCTCTTTTCCCTAAATTTCTGCTTCAGTTTATAAATGCTTTACATTGAGTTTAAAATTAAATATAAAATGCAAATAGTAATAATGTAAAATATGTTAAGGTAATCTTCATATTTATATCTTTCTTTGGAATTTATTGAATATTCTAGAAAAAATAGTTCAATTTACTTCATGCTTAGGATTATATCTGAAAGCAAAATCAGTTAGAATATTTAATTGTTGAGCACTCAAAAAAAATTGGTTTATCGTTTGACCTGATCATGTTTTTTAATTTTGTGATTAATTTCAGAGTTGTGAATATGGTAAATGATTTAACAACTGTATTTATATACGTTGTTTGAATTTAAAATGACATAATGATTTTTGAAGCATTGTAAATGTAACACATTAAGGGTCTGCGTCTTGAAGTAGTTGTATTTCAATACCACAACTAAATCTCCATGGAAACATTTCAAGATCTATCAAGACTAAATTTTGCAGTTTTTATTCTAATCATTTCAAGAAAGACAAAACTTTTTAAAATTAACGTACAGCTCTTAAACTGAAATCAAAAAATGAAAAGTTAAAATTTAAAAAGTTGTAGGTTGTATAAGTTAGGAAAACAAGAAGATGGGCGAGAGTTTCAAAGCTTTAATGTGTTTTAAAAAAATTTTAATGGAAAAAAAAGTGACAATTAAAAGTTTTTATAGCATAAAGGGATAAATACTGTAAGAAAGTACAAATTTGCTGAATGACAAGTCAAGCAAAAATGAGTTTTGTTTCATGGAACTAGTGATATAGCTTGTTTGAACAGAGATTGTGTTAGTATTTGAAAAAAAGAAAAAGAGATGCAACCTTATGTTGATGGGAGAGTTGCTCAAGCTTGGCAGAGCAGGTTTGACTATGTTTACAATGTAAAATTCATAAGCCACTGCAAACCCTAAGCTGTTACAGAAGTGAGATCAGATTCAAGATCTGCTACCTGTTCTAAGCGATCGAAAAGAAAAGATTTTTTAAAGACAGGAGTATAAGGTTAAGTTTCAATCCTTTTTAGCTCAAAGTTCTATCTTTGAGGTACTCTTTCTGGGGTACCTCAAGGATAGAACCTTGAGGTACCCTAGAAGTACTGAAAATGAAAAAAAGGGTAAACCTTTAAAGATGACTTTAATACTGTGGTTAGAAAAAAAAATTTAATAATCTCAAAAAATTTTCCAGATACACCATATAAAGCTAGCTTATTGAGAAGACCAGCATGTTAGACTTTATAGAAAGCTTAATAGCCAGCTTTAGTTTTGTTTTTTATAAATGTCTTTATTTTCCCCATCCAAACTCTTTCTTATAGAAACTGTTGGATTGTCGCGTCCATAAATTGAATAAACAAAATGTATTATTTTATAGCTTTCTTTTAACCTCACTAACTCTATATATATAAAATAAAAAAAGTCCCATGAGAATACTTTTAATTACAATTGAAATAACGCATGATTTTTAACATGTATAATTCACCAACATAAAAAGAGAACACATCCTCTTGGTGAATTAACTCATAAGTCTAATCTTTGTGGGGGCTTTACTGTTCGTCCGGAGCGTGTTACTTGCAACACATGTTCTTGAGAATCATTATGAACTTGAGTAGTATCATCGTGATGGACCACAATCAATCATCGATAAGTACAGTTCAGCACCTACATGTGTCACGTCAATGGCAACTTTATTCCAATTTTCTTCTACGCTCAGTTGATCATGCTTCCACTGTACGGAGTAAGGATCGATGGAGTTGCACTGGTTACAATTTGCTATTACTGCTGAAACCTCCTTACGTGATACATACTGATTAATTTGCAAGTAAAGTTGTAATGTTCGAGCGACACCAAAGTGATCAATCGAATGAATTTTCCATATGTCTTTTTGTTCAGGTAATCCAGCTGCACACACTGTTCTGCACCATTTTTGAGGGATTCATGAGAGTTGATCAGCCAAATTTATTTCAGATGGAATCCATTGTACTACAATCTGGATACCTTTTTCCACTTCCCTAATAGTATTTAACTGTCTTTGTACTAACAATTGAGAAATTCCACAAGTTTTTACGCAATATTCTTTCTTCAAAACTGCGTTTAACCATCCTACGATGCTCTTGCTATGACTCTATACTGTTAACTCTTTTATGTCCCACTTACTAGCTAAGTTTAGTCCTTGAAGTATCGAATCTAGTTCACTTATATTGATATGGTGTGTGTCACTTGCTGGCCGTAGCCATGCTGCGTCTTCAACAACTACTCCACCAATGAGCAGAACTACCCCAAGTCCTATGGATGATGCATCACAATAGCTTATCACAATAGCTCGGCTTTTCCATTCACTGGTACCAACCATTTTCCACCAACCAGATCCTCCTTTTCCACACGATGAAGCAAATCTTTCAGTTTTTCTTTACAATCTTCTGAAATAAAATCACACCAAGGTATATTTCCAGCTAAACGTTTGATATATGAAGCTTGTAAACACAAACTTCCTACCACTGGGTAATGTCCAATGCGTTCACCTAACTTGCTGAAAAACTGCGATCGTGTGACTGCATTTAAAGGTTTAAATTATACCATATTGTCTCGTTTCCATATCAGTTCCCCATTATTATTTCTTTCGAATCTCAATCCTAAGACACGTCCTTGTTCCAGATTTTGTGGAGGTTTACATTTTAACCCGAATTTATGCAGATACTTCGCTACATTTTCCGCAGTTTCCACACTTTCATCCACAAATATATTATCAATGTAGTTATCACATGTTTTCTTTACAGTTGGATTTAAATTAAGCACAGGCCGAAGAATTGTGGTCATTATTGTTGGAGTCACATTAATGCCAAAACACATTCTGGTAAAACAATATTGTTTCCCATTTATAATCACCGTTTGATATGGCCAAAGTCTTTTATCAATATGAATTTGAAGGTAGGCTTTTTTAAGATCAAGAATTTTTTCATTTTTAATTTTTCTCCAACAACGCAGTTTTTCTTGACATACGTCCGCATTCGCTGTGTGACAATTTACAAATTCGTTAAGAGCTCGGAAATCTCCCACTGGATGTACCTTTTTGTCCTTATTTTCTTGCACTACGCACATAAGCGGTATCAATACTTTAGGTGGTCCAAATGTTAATTTGTTATATGGTACAAGAATGCCAGAGTTAATCCATTCATTTATTTCTTTGCAATAACTATGTTCGTACTCGTGGTTCATCTTGTATTCACAAATGGTATTATCAATTACAGGCTCTTTATTCCAGTTCCATGATGCTGTCCACTTTTTCCTGTCAAAATTTGAAGCGAAGTCCTGATGTTTTAATTTGTTTCTTTTGTTTTCTTCATTAGTATTTTTGACATCACATTTTATTTTTTTTATTTCGTTTTCGTTTTTTATCGTTGTAGTAACAGCACCACATTTCGCTGTGTCACATGCTAACATTCGGACAGTACGGTTTTTATTATCATAAATGATGACTCCTCCAAATTTTTCAATCGCATTCATTCCAAATATCAAATCAAACTGCAATGGTTTTTCTTTTACAACCAGAGAATTAACAATCCGGTGTATTCCATCAATTTCCAATTTGATTACCGTTTCACCCAGCACTTGCACAGCTCCTCCCAAAGTTGCGATAAGTTTTTGACTTTTTAAAACAAGACCATGCGTGGATTTAGCATGAATCACAGTGATGGAGCATCCAGAATCAATTAATGCTGTTCGGAGCATTCCATTTATTTTCACTTTTAATGATGGCAAAATTATTTCTGGGAGAATATTGGATGCCATTATTTCCAAATTCTCCCTTTTTCTTTTAAACTTTGCAATTGTTTGAAGCAGTCTTTAGCTTGATGATCGTGTGAACAAGTCTTGCATTTTGCTTCGCAGTCCCGTGCAAAATGTCCAAGTTTCCCACAATTGAAACATTTAACTTTGTTTGTGTCGGGCACATGTCAGATGTCCATGGAAATAACGTCGGACACACTGACAGATGTCCATGGAAGTAACGATGTTGCTGCAATCATTACATTATTGGAGTCATCTAAATATCGAGCTTCCTGGGTTACTCGTTCAAGGGTAACAGCAATTTCCGCAGCCTTTGCAAACGTTAGTTCTTCAGATTGCAGTAATAACCGTTTGATTGTAACACCAACGTTTTGATTGTAACACCAACGTTAAAACCTGTGATGAATTGGTCGCGCATTCGATCATCTCTGTTCATTTAATTCGCATTCTTCAGCAGCTCTTGCAATTTTTCGTGAAAATTCCGTCACACTTTCAATACTTGCTTTTTTTATAGTTGGAATTCAAAGCATAGTATTAACGATAACTTCGGTTTAAAAAGCTTTATGATGTTTTCCTCGATGTCTACGTAGGTAACTGAGTCATCTTCTGGGTATGCAGGCAAGCATAAATCTTCCAGTGCAGAATAAATCTGTGGTGGCAAACATGTTAATATTGTTGTTTTCCTTTTGGATTCGGGTACTTCTATCGCAGTTATGTATGTTCGTAGTTGGCGGACAAATCACTGATGGTTGCCATCGAATACCGGTGGCATAATCGCAGAAATATCTTGTTGGATCGTAGCGTCTATGAATTGAATAAACAAAATGTATTATTTTATGGCTTTCTCTTAACCTCACTAACTCTATATATATAAAATAAAAAAAGTCCCATAAGAATACTTTTAATTACAATTGAAATAACGCGTGACTACCTCTACCTGATTTTTAACATGTATAATTCACCAACATAAAAAGAGAACGGAAACTGAACCTGTAAAAAAATGTCATTAATATTTTTTTAAATAATAGGTCTAAATTAAAAAACCTGTTGACATTGCAATGCTACTTCAGAGAAGTAACTCTTCGATCGGAATTTTTTTAACTTCCAGCTTCTATTTCTCAAACAACAAGAGCAGCTTGAATATGCTGAATGGCCTTGTATGGAATACTCTTATCATATCTGGGCTTGATTTTTAATGATGGTTTTTTTTAAGATTGCATCTTTTTCTATAGATAGTACCATGGTTGCTCCTCCAACAAATCTTTTTTTTATTGCTTTTAACAAAAAATTTTCTTGTTCACTATTGTGTTCACTATTGTGTTACCTTCTATTTGTTCAAAAGATTTTTTTTTTCCATTTACACTAGCACTTTGGAAATCTCCCCACAAATTATCTTTTTCTGATTCTATAAACATATCTGATGATATATTTAGTAGTATATATTATTTTAGTGGTGTGTCTCTATAATATGCCAATATTAATTTAATGATGTGTCTGTATTATTTTAGTGATGTGTTTGTAATATTTTAGTGATGTGTCTATATTATTTTAGTGATGTCTATATTATTTTAGTGATGTGTCTATATTATTTTAGTGATGTGTCTATATTATTTTAGTGATGTGTCTATATTATTTTAGTGATGTGTCTATATTATTTTAGTGATGTGTCTATATTATTTTAGTGATGTGTCTGTAATATTTTAATGATGTGTCTATATTATTTTAGTGATGTGTCTATATTATTTTAGTGATGTCTATATTATTTTAGTGATGTGTCTATATAAGTTTGTTGCAATCTCAAGCTTATACTTTATGTTTTTTTTACAATTGGGAAATATTTCGAACAAGAAAAATTTTCCAATGATCTTTAAGAAGAAAATAAAATTAATATCGTATACTTTTTATTTTTTTAAATATAATTTATTAAATGTTTTTAAGCTCTTATTTTTTTATAGCAATTTTTTTCAGTTATTTAAAAAATGAAGAGGAATTAAAAAATATTAAAGTAAAGCTTTTGATAATAAAACTTAACATTTATATTAGTACTTCAAAAGAGTTAGAGAGACGTCAGAACCAAATCGATACTCTGATATCTAGGTTTGTTTTTTTTTTATGATGAAGTAAAGTTTTATGAATATTTTTTTTTAGTTTTAATGATGAAGTAAAGTTTTATGAATATTTTTTTTTTAGTTTTAATGATGAAGTATAGTTTTATGAATATTTTTTTTTAGTTTTAATGATGAAGTAAAGTTTTATGAATATTTTTTTTTAGTTTTAATGATGAAGTAAAGTTTTATGAATATTTTTTTTTAGTTTTAATGATGAAGTAAAGTTTTATGAATATTTTTATTTTAGTTTTAATGATAAAGTCATTAAAACTAAAAAAAAAATATTCAATTATCAGAATCATTAAAACTAAAAAAAAATGAATATTTTTTTTTAGTTTTAATGATGAAGTAAAGTTTTATGAATATTTTTCTTAGTTTTAATGATGAAGTTAAGTTTTATGAATAATATTTTTTTTAGTTTTAAATAACTTTAACTGTTTTATATCAGTCTACAGTTACAGACAAAAAGAGCCAACCATTCATATATATTACAGATAATTACTTAAAAATACAAAATATGCATGCTGGCAACACAATAAACAATGTGTTGTGTAGGTGATTGCTTAGTTATCAACTAATAGGAAAGTATCTTATATGCATTATATACAATAAAATCATGTGTAACTCATAATATGTAAACATTATCTTAGAGTACCTGATTTTAGTTTGTATATAGATTACTACATACAAGTTAAAACCATATGTAATTTAACTATTATTATCTAAAAGTATGGCTACAACATCGCTTGCTAATGTGTATAAGTGTAGCTTTTAATAGAAAACAAGCCTGAATGAATGATTGCTGCACATTTTAAGATGCCAAAAACATCTGTTCGAGATATTATTAAACACATCAACTCAATAGATAGCATCAATCCAGGAAAGTCTTGTGGAAGACCAACTTACATTTTTTGAATCATAATTCTTGGTATTCCAAGAATTAGCATTACAAAAAACAATATGGTACACAATATGGTACACAAATTTTTACTCAACTTTTGCCTAGCGTTGGTATTATTGCCTTCACAGTAAAGATCTTTAATTTTATTGTGTTAAAGCCAAGCTTAGAAAAATATTAATGATTACTACAAATTTAGCAAAGAACACAAGGGTTGGAGTTTTAAATGCAGCAATGTATCATGTTCTCAGAGGAAGCTTAAGTTAAGGAGTTTGCAGTACACATAGTAAATGTTTGCCAGCCACTAAATTCAAGCTTCGAGACCAATATCTTAAGTGTCAGCAGGGTTAGTGGTACTAGAGCTAGATCATTTTGCGTGATGAGCATTAAAATCACCAGTAATAACAACTTTGGCTGATGGAAAAAAAGGAATGGGGTTAATCAATTCAATCAGAAATAACATCAAAAAAAATGCAGTCTTGGAAAAGTCGATTGAGTAAAAAGGTAATAAATGGAAGCACATAAAAGAATTGTCAGAGGTTTCAAACCTGATTTCATGAGAAATAAATGAATTGATATGCAAGTATATTCCTAAGGTTAGTGATTATCTGAAGATGAAACAGCTAAATTCAAATTAGTATGATAAAGAGCCAGTAAGATGAATTTTGCAAGAAGTAAGATGCAGATGATTTGTAAAAGATTAGTGGTGCTGATGATTTTTTATGTTTAATATTTTTAAGTGGCTTCAAAATGATTAATTTACTTTAAGAACATTAAGAAAATAGTGACAATGATGCCATTTAGATAACTTGATATGAGTATAGAGGCTAAAAGGTCAATCAAAAAAAAAAAACTTGTTTTTAATTTGAGAAATCTTTTTATTTAACAAAAGTTTGATATCATATGTAGAAATTTGATATCATCATAGAAAGTCAGGTATAAACAAACAGATAATTTTATTGTAGATAATTTAAACAGATAATTATTAGAGCATGTTCACAAGAATCTAAAACATTTAAAGATTTTAATACTTTTTGTAGTAGTTTATGAGCTAATTTTAATCTTATTTTGTTTTGTTATTTATTAGTACAACTGTTTGTTATTTAGAAGCAATTAATCAGCTAGAGGCTTAAAACATGTTAAAATGTGCATGAGCTAAGTTCATAGATGAGTTAAAAAAATAAAATTTGGTCTCATTTAGCACAATTGTCAAAAGATGGCAGTTCAATTTTTAAATGAGGAGGATATATTTATCATATATTTTAAATGAAAATGTATATCATATATTTTAAATGAAAATATCTTATATTTATTTTAAAGATCATTTAGGTTTAAATGCTATTTAATTTATTAATACATATTGTTTTATTATAATATTTGAATTGATTTTTTTATTTTTTAAATTGTTTGTTTTATAAGTATAAATTATTGTTAATTTTGTAAATTTAAGTAGTGATTTTTCAAAACAGAGAAAAGCAGATTGCAGAATTATTCAATAAACCGTTAAACAGTTCAAGGTATTTTTTTGTTTGTTTGTTAAAATTTTGTTTGCTAAAAATGTTACAAAATATTACATGCTAAGGTAAATTATAAATACTTTTTACAATAAAAAATGAGAACTTGTCAAATGTTCCAAAGGCTTCATTTACTTACAATAAAAATCTGCTTTGTTTTCTATTTTCTCGAAAAAAAACATTATTATGGCAACTGACTTAAAGAATTTACCATATGAAATTTATGAAGACATGAAGTTTATGAAAAATTGACCTTTGCATTATTACTATTACATTTAGAATAATAATAGAGATTTTCTTTTGTGATGTAATCGTTCTACCAAGCCATAGTATTTAGCTTGTATAATTTTTATATTTTTTATTTATTATGAAATGATTTTGTGCGCATTCACATTTCAAAGTAATATTGTTTGACACACTTAGGTCATGGATGATGGTGTCATGTATAAGTTTTTTTTCAATGAATATATTTGTAAGTAATAGAGATTTTTTAAGAACAACTTGTAAGTCCTTTTCAAATGTTTTCTTTGTGATAGCTCTAATTGGGTATATTTTGGGTTATGACATTTAAATTGGAAAAATGTATAACAAAGTCTATTATTATCCTGAATGGTAATACTTTGTTATAAAAGCTTAGTTCTGGTGATCCCAAGATAGCACTGCACCTTATGATAGTACTGCGTTTTATGGCACAGGGTATAGTACAAAAATCCCCATTGGTTTAAAATTCCAAAAAATGAAATAATGGTTAAAAGTATACTAGTAGCTGTCGAACATTTATTTATTTGGTTCATGCAAATTGTTTTTGTTTTTTTCAGCTTTTTAGCTCCAAGTTTTTTGTTTTTTTGTTTTGTTTTGTTCTATATTACATTTTAAACAGCTTTTCTTTTATAAAATATAAAGTACACAAAATAAAATATAAAAATATAATAATATAAAAAATATAATAATATAAAAATATAAAAAAGATATTTGAATTGATAAAATGTTTTGAGAATGTTCAAGTTAAAATCATGTTGTTGTTAAGTATTATATATATATATATATATATATATATATATATATATATATATATATATATATATATATATATACACATATATATATATATATATATATATATATATATATATATATATGTATATATATATATATATATATATATATATATATATATATATATATATATATATATATATATATATATATTATTCAAGAAAACTGCTTTATCGTATAATTTTAGCGATAAAAATAATATTTAATATTTAAGTTTAGTTTAAAAGTTAGCAATCAAAATTTACATATATAATATTAAAATTTTATTAATCCAAATTTCAAAAAATCATTTTTTGCATATTTTGTGTATTATGTTTATAACAAAAATTATATATTTTTAAGACATGGCGTTTTAAATAATGGTTATGATAATGGTAATTCAGATCTATGGTCACAGACTCATCCTTCTCGCACCTATGCAGATGAAGAACTGACAACTGATCACTTTTATCAGCAGCAAAATAAAATTATAGAAGGTATTTAGAGTGATTTTTATATTTTAGATGTAAAAGTGTAGGGTTTCTATAAGCTATTAATAAAAACCGAAAAACAGCTGGTTTTTAGCCAAAATTTGAAAAGAGCTACCTGTTTTCCTGTTTTTAATTTTTATCTTAAAATTTTTTTGTAACAGAATGTTAAAAAAATATTTAAAAAATTTAAAATAACAGTTTGATTTTTAAATGATTTCTGGATTTTTAAAATGGAACAAAGTATAAATTATGAATTGGTCATAAAAATATTTGTTTGGGAAAAGTGAGTGTAATGATTGTTATGAAACCAATTCCCTATGGACAATCATTTCTAATACTTGTTTAGAATTTAATTAAAGATTGCATCATTACTAGTTCTCTTTTTGAGAAGAAAAAATCTATGATTGCAAAACTATTCCTTTAAGTGAATAATACCACACAAGGAATTCTCTCACGAATGGAATAAAAGCCTTAATGCTAAACTTAACAGTGTTGGAATAACTATTCGGGAAACTAAACATAGTTTGAACATAATATAATGTAATACCCATAATAGTTTAAATTAACAATACTGATTCTCTTTCCTATAAATAAGAGGACAAATCATAACAGTGAGGTTGAGTTGTTGATATTATTGGCTTAACTAATTAAATTTGTGATTAATTATATAAATATTTCTTTAGAAAGTAGATTTTATTCTTATTATGAAGAATATATGTTATATATGCATATATATATACCTAATTAAATATAGATATCATCTGTTTGGGAGTTTAGGACGAAATGAAAGAATCCTGTAAGTAAGGATATAGAAGAAGTTTGCAATTGTTGCAATTATATCATTATTCTCTGGAGTATCTACTCAGCTTAAAGGCTCACCTTAAATTGAAGCATAAAGTTGATTGTTCTCAAACTGAAAAAATTTCTCCTGAACAAGTTGTAGCAGAAAAGAAACCTTGAACAATCCTTGATTTTGTTTAGCGTAAGAGCTTAAATGAAATTGTTTTTAATATGGCCACAAATGGAATATTCATTAGAGCTATATCAACTTCCGAAAAATAAGAGTGGGATTATGAAGCTTATCAATGATTTTTGGTTTGTGTAATTCTGAAGCAATGAAAAGGTATCAAATCATTTTTAGAGTTTTTCGATTGAATTTGAAAAAGATTTGATCAACACAAGACAATCAACAAGAAATATATGATAATTGCCAATATTATTGACCTGTATTGTATTAATCATGGCATTCACTTGGGAGTAACTGACACTTTGTATAAGTAAATTCCCTGAATTAGCTTAAGTGAGTTAGATTTGGGCGCTAAAGACTATAACAGAATTTGGTGAAAATCAGGTTGACAGTTTTTAAATAACGACATAAAGGTAATTATTCAGAAATCAATTTCCATTCTGTTTTGAAAAATTTATGAGATGTTGTCAAGTATATCAAAGGTTCGACAGTTGGAAATCAAATATTTCAGTCAAAAGTAGCTCAAGCATTTGGAGCTGAAATCAAGTTGCATCTTGACTTTCTACATCATTGGAATTCTATCCCCACAATGATTGATCTACTGATTAAAAGGAAACTTTGCCTGGTTGAGATTTCAACTGAGTTAAATACGCTTGACTTGATCAATAAGGTGGATTTTAATGCTTTGTTGATGTTGCAAACTGTCGTGGAGGTAATTTTGCTGAGTAGTGCTTAACAGCAAATATACAGCAAGTTGAATGCTTTTGACAGCTGATACTGTTATAAATTGATACTGTTATTGGTTTTATGCTGGAAAACCTTTCAAATTTAAATAACAACATTGGAAAGAAGTTATGAAAATCTCAAGAAGTGAGCGAGTTATAAAAGAAAGAAGTTATGAAAATCTCAAAAAGTGAACGAGTTATAAAAGAAAGAAGTTCACTTCTTGAAAAGAAAATCTCAAGAAGCAAAATAGAGCACAATGTGATGAACTTATTACGATCACGAGATCTTACAAATATTTAGATCAAGAGATCTTACAAATATTAAGATCATGAGATCTTACGAATATTCTACCAAGTTTTGCTCTTTGCTGGAAAATTGACAAAAAGAATTTTCATTTTTCAAGGAGATGAAGAAACTTCATCTAGCTAGATCATCATGCTAGTCTTGATGACCTTCAGAATCACCAGACGTAGAAGTTTTTATCTTAATAATTAATAGTTCACTATTTGTTTATGAAGAGTTGGATTTATTGCTGAGAAAAAATAAAGTTACTCCCATTTCAACAGTCAACGATGAGTTCAAATGACTAAAACAGGACTTTTAGCTTTTTTTACTTCAATAAATTTTGGCTCAAAGATAATGTCTTTTAGACAAATCTTTGAGTTCACTTGTGTAAAAAATAATGCTAGAAATCAGACTATTTTCTTGTAAATTCCATGAAAAAAGACAAAACAACTGTTAACAGATATTTGGTCAAGTCCATATGATTTGATGCCAGTCCCAAACTTCAAAAAATACTTTCATAAATAATTTTGATTTTAAACATTGGAATTAATATTTATAAAGAATTGAAGCTTATCTTGATATTTTGAATTATATATGGTTTAGTAGAACCCAAATTTTATAGATTAGGAGAAAGTATGCACCTATGATTCTGAAAATCTATCAGGACAATTTACTGAGTATATGAATTTATTTTGATTTTTAAAGTAAGAGTAGATGATAGCAAACTTCATTTCTTATTATAATTTAATAATCGTTATTTTAATATTTTAAGTATATAGTTAAGTGTTTTTAGTTATAAAAACTAAAAACACTTAACTAGGATCAAGAGTGCATACCAGTATTTTCCCTTGATCCTATATGCATTCTTGATCCTATGCATGTATACTTGATCTGAGTTCAAATTTATACCATGAATGTGTAAGAATTGTTTTCAAGTCATCAAAACAATGTCTGTTATAAAAAAATGTTAATAATTTTACTACAAATTTATCATTCTTATTAGAAGAAAAAATAAGCAAAATCAATGAAAAAAATGTTATTCATAGTCAATATTTGTTTACTTCATCAAAATGTGTCATTTCGAAAAGTAAAATGTAGTTTAATTTTTCATTCAATAGATACATAGTATCATAGTTACATAGTATAATAACACTACATTGCAAAATATTTTACAGCAGTTTTGAATACTTTTAAACTGTTAACAAAATTACTAATGAAAAATATATATAGAAAAGAGGAGTGGTAAATATAGTTTCAGGTAAAGTTTATTAAAGGTATTATTTAGTATATTATTTAGTAATGACATTAATTGAATTTGATAGTTTCTTTTTAAATTAAATATAACTAAAAAATAAACATTTATGTATTGCTAACATATAGATACAAAGATGCAATCAAATATTGAAAAGGAGGTGAAACATGTTAGACTTCTGAAAATCAATTGTAGGAGGCCCCTTTATCTTCTTGAATCTTCTATTTAATTTTTACCTCAGAATCAGCTTGCAACCAATGGGTTACTTCTAAGCATTATCGATATTTAATTAGCAGTAGATCAAAACGATTCAAAAGTATTTATGATTTTTCTTCTCCTATAGAATCAAATTTTAATATGAAATGCAAAGAAAAAACAATGTGTTATCAGAAAAATGGAGAAATGTGTCTTCTTATAAAAGTAGTAAACATCTGGAAGTCCTGTGTTTTTAAAAACTATATTATTGGAGAAGATAAAATATTTTCAAAGTTTGTAAAAATTCACAAAAAATAGGTATCAATGACCAGAGGAAAGTTGCTAGTTTAGAAAAAGGACATTAAAGAAAAGTTAGTTGAAGAATTTTAATAAATCATTGAGACTCTATTTGAAATTGTAAAATCCAACATTAAAGAGCTTATACAACTCAGTCAACATTAAAGAATTTATACAACTCAGTCAACATTAAAAAGCTTATACAACTCAGTCAACATTAAAAAGCTTATACAACTCAGTCAACATTAAAGAATTTATACAACTCAGTCAACATTAAAAAGCTTATACAACTCAGTCAACATTAAAAAGCTTATACAACTCAGTCAACATTAAAGAATTTATACAACTCAGTCAACATTAAAAAGCTTATACAACTCAGTCAAAATATGTTGAGAAATGACGAGAGTAAAGAAGAAGAATTAGCATTTTGGAAGATCAGAAAAATGCTAGAAAACAGTTTATAACTGGACACAAACAAGAGAGATACTGTAGGTATACTGATTATAAGAAAAAATGTCAGTAGAGGCCAATGATATAGAGATTATGATATAGAGATGCTCAATATCATAATAACAAGAACTATGATTACTTAGATTTAGAAGATTTAGAACCCTCAAAAAATCCTGATAGAAATTATTCATATGAGATAAAATCAATATCAAAATATGGATGTCAGACATCTTAAGGATGTCCAGATTTCTTTAAGTTGTCTGACGGACGTCTGTTGGACAATACATTCCCACTGGAGTAGATTCTTCATATCTGGCATTGATGATGATAGGTAAAACTAATTCTAATTCTAATGAGAATAAACATCAGCAAAAAATATCAAATAATGCTAGTAAAAATCATAAACTACCTAGGAGTAGAAATGAATAAAGTTAAAATAAACAGAGAAATAGTCAGATTTAAACGTTATGAGGTTATTTAAAATCATGAAAATGAAATTAGGCAGAATTATATCAAGGAAATGAGAGCAAAAAATCTTGTCCTGGCTTTGAAGGCAAACTAGTTACACAAGGAAATCCAACAAACAGTTACAAGAGATAGAATTGCTGTGTCTGTTACTTATCCTGAATTGTTCCAAGTGACACAGGTAAAGTATCTTTATTTCATTAAAAAAACTACTTTTTGCTTTCATCATTGCTATTACCGCTCTTGCTATTATTTTAATTAATTTTTGAATTGTTGCGAAAATTACTCCATTCTTTTTCTAGAATGTTCCATAATTGGGTTTTTGATGTTGGACATTCAATTCTTACTTTACTATCCAGTTCATCTTAT